CTCTGCTCCTTCATAGCCGCAATTCCCTTTGCCTTGGATGTCTACAGTGTGCACGACAACTTCACTGCTCCTCTGCCTGTGACAAATTCTTCAGCAATGAGAACCACGAGGAAAGACATTTTGAGTTTGTTAATTCTTCTCTGTAATGCTGGTGTAGGTATGCCTTTCATACTGTGTGTTGTTTCAAGTGTTCTGCTGATTCAGTCTCTGTGGATACACACCAGACGGATGCAAAATAATGCAAGTGGCTTCAGGGACCCCAGCCTAGAGGCCCATATGAAAGCCATCAAGTCAGTCTGTTCCCTCCTTATCCTGTACATTACATACTTTATAGCTTTCACTTTTCTTTTATATGATTTATTTCTTAGTTTTAGCACCCCAAAATCGATATGTATAGCTGTAATGGCTGCTTGTCCTACAGGACACTCCATAGTTTTAATTTGGAGCAACCCAAAATTTCGAGAAATGCCAGCTAGGATTTGGCACCACACAAAGTGTCCTGTCAGAAATACATTACTGTAAAAGATATATCCTGGACTTTCTAGTTTAGTTCCAGATGAACTAATTTGAAACCACAAGAGTTATAAAATTATAAAAGCTGAAATGGGTAGATTAGATCACCAATCTGGAATAATGAAGAAGATGGAAATATTCTCCTTTTTACTTTCCTTGAAAATCACATTTTCTCTAAGACAGCAGAAAAAACGAGCCCAAGGCTCAGACCAGAGTGTAAACTCTTGAAATGCTTAAAGTTACTAATTCATGAGAAAAACAGATCAGACCTGCTTGATCACAAACATGTTCATATTTAATTGGGGAATGTTATGGTTGAATGCTGTTTCTGATTAGTAAAAGCCCCTAATGAGTATGCTTAGGAATTCCCAATAATATGGGAATATCTTACAGATAATTTTTGACTACAGTTGAATTATAGAAAAAATATTTGTGGACTCTAAAGGTGTCTATAAAATTCTGGTATGGTTCAGTAAAAAAAGACAAAGCATTTTGAGCTTTCTTGCTCTTGCTCAAGCAGTGACCAGTGTCTGTGTTGCCAGTTAAATGATGCATTGGAGAACTCACTAAAATCCAGTGATTAGAACTGATAGGAAAAGTATCACTACGTTAAGACTGGAGGTACATTAGGACTGGACCTCCAGAATCCTTTTCATCTGTAGTGGGATTTTACATACTTTTAAAGTAAATGCCACAGAAACATTATGATGTAAGCCTTGTGTTCACAAAGCCCATCCTGATTCAATGTATCTGGTTTGGATGTTGTCAATCTGTTTGAAGCAATGTACCTGTAACTGATCTGAGTCTGTG